ACCTTAACATCGCATTAAAGAATAGACACCGTAATGATTCATTCGAACGTTCGAGAAAAAACGAGCTCCACTGGAATGGAGTAGTACAGGGTGTCCCATTTTGGTTGAAATCATAGGGTATCTACGTTATTAGTGAAGATAGAAGGGTGCGGTTTGCACAAACCTGTCCCACTTTTTCGTCAAACGGAAGATGCTGCAAACAAAATTTTCATAGCCCTCTTCGTTTCCGAGCTACAGGGTCTTTTTGAAAATTTTGCAATTTGGGACACCTCCTGTATCTCTGTTATTGTTAAAGCTATCGAGAAGGTGAAAACTGTTTATTGTAGAACTTTTTACGTAGAATACAGTGCCGTAGTCTGTTTTTTTACCAAAAAAATATTTTTGAAAATATGAACTAAAGTTATGTTTTTTCAAATGGAACACCCTGTATATTTATAAATCATATGATCTGTCTTGCTATGAGCTTCTCAAAAATATATATCACTCTATATTTATTTTCACTATTTACTGCAATATTTAAAATATATCATTTTCTTATTAGTAGGCCGTGATAAGTAACAAAAAATCCAAAATGGTGTTTACTAAAATATACACATATTAAAATTTATTTGGGATTGATATATTTTACTTTTGAAATAACTGTTACCACTGAAACTGTGAATATATTTTTCTTTTTTTTATAACGGGATGGGTTTGCAAATATCTAAATCTTGAATTATTAAAGCATTTTTCAGGTGTTCGACATTGTTGTAGTGCCCACGATATATTTCGTATTTCAAAAATCCCCAAAATCAGAAATCGAGAACGGCGAAATCCGGGAATCGAGGAGGCTATCAATATGCGTTCATTGGTTCCAATTCATTGATTTGAAAAATAATAATTTAACAGTATTCTAATATTTCCATAGTTATGAGGGGGAATGTTCCCCATCTTGCTGAAAGTATATTTCACGTAAATTAGCTAAAGGAATATCTAAAATTTCCGATACGATAGATTATTCTTACGTATACACGTATTCCAAGATTTACAAATAGCGGTAGAGAGTTAAGTTTCCCTAATATATAAAGAATTTATTAGCGGCTCCCAAAATAAAACAAGAGACAGATAGCAGTATACTTTTAATAATTCTTTAGTTTCTTTTATTATCAATCATGGCCTACTAATAAATATGATCTTTTAATAAAAACTTTTAAATATTGCAGTAAATAGTGAAAATAAATATAGAGTGATATATATTTTTGAGAAGCTTATGGCAAGACAGATCATATGATTTATAAATATACAGGGTGTTCCATTTAAAAAAACATAACTTTAGTTCATATTTTCAAAAATATTTTTTTGGTAGAAAACCAGACTACGCCACTGTATTCTACGTATAAAGTTCTACAATAAACAGTTTTCACCTTCTCGATAGCTTTAACAATAACAGAGATACAGGAGGTGTCCCAAATTGCAAAATTTTCAAAAAGACCCTGTAGCTCGGAAACGAAGAGGGCTATGAAAATTTTGTTTACGGCATCTTCCGTTTGACAAAAAAGTGAAACAGGTTTGTGCAAACCGCACCCTTCTATCTTCACTAATAACGGAGATACCGTAAGATTTCAACCAAAATGGGACACCCTGTACATACGAGAACATTCGAAACCTTCTCTATGCACCTAATGCTCTATGGATTATTCGAGAAACTCTTTAGCTGTGGATATAAGATTCGACGGCTGGAGCCTGAAGAGGACAGAAATAAATAGACGAGTACAGTTGTCGCGCTAAATTCAAAATAAATTCTTTCTAGATAAATAGTTATAAATAGTTTGTATATAATTCTTTTAAGTCTTTTAATCGATATTGTTTGTTACTTAGTGTAAATAAAATGTGACTTTCTATCCACACGGAACCGACGAAAAACGTAACAGTATTATCGACATTATTAAATCCAAATCGAATTTAAACTTTGTTTAAATTGTTTACGTTGAAGCTTTTTAGCTTTTGTTGTACCTATTTAATGAGAAAAAATAAATTTATATTAATAATTTAAATTATAACTATATACCAATAATATTAATAATACGAAGAATTTTAAATTAACCGCATTCATTATATTTTAACGATATTTATAATAATAATTATCTAGATAAATAAATTTATTGCCTTTTATTTTATAGACTGTTTATTTAAATTTGACGGTTTTCAGTAGTTATTAAAATTACATTAATCCTGTATATGGAGAAGCATATTGAAATATTTTTAATGTTGTTATTTTTTATCGTAAATTTTATGAAAATGGCGCAAAAAATTATTTAATTAATGAATATTCATTGATTCATAAGTTTCATACTAATGTACTAATTTGGTATTTATGTTTGTAATTTTATACAGGGTGATTCACGGTGATAGGATTTTTTTTGAAAATTTGGATTTTTGCATAAAGGCACCTGATCCATCTGTCTTAAATTATTTTCAGCGTAATGTTGCAGGAGGGTGTCCGTTATTTCCTAAGTTGAATTTTTCTTGCTTGTAAATATCTCTAATAGTTTTCGAGATAAAAAAGAGCGTTTCTTACTCTATATTGTACCATATAAACAATAATAATAAGCTTTTGAACGTACACGCTAGGGGGCGTTGTCTTGCATTTTAAAAAACATTGCGCGTTTTTTCAAAAAAATTAAATACAGTAGCATATGTAATTTTAGCTGATAGTAAATAGTAGTAAAAGCTAAAAAGTCAGCGAAAACCGCATCTTGATATCTTCTTTCCAACCGAAGATATTAGTAAAATTATAATAAATACCAAAAAATAAGCCCTTAATTACCTTATTTTTACAACACGGTATCAGTAGTCCTCTTAATTATGCCCATTCTAACAAAAAAATAAGATAGAAACAGTTAGTTTCTTTTAAAATCGACGAAATACCAGAATACCATAATACCAGACGTATTAATATCTAATAATTAAGATATTAATAACAGTGAACAAGAAACGATGATTCAGTGAAGTCATGGTAGGCTTTGGAAAAAAGTTACTTTTGACGTAATAGTATAAACGTCAAATTGTTATTAGATCAACATTTTGATAGTCTTATCAGCGTTTTTTTTTATCTTTTAATTGATTTTTCAAAATGCCTTTATTATTTGGAATAGTTGAAGTTGTTGGCATTTTGAAAAAGCAATTAAAAGATAAAAAAACGCTGATAAGACTATCAAAATGTTGATCTAATAACAATTTGACGTTTATACTATTATGTCAAAAGCAACTTTTTTCCAAAGCCTACCATGACTTCACTGAATCATCGTTTCTTGTTCACTGTTATTAATATCTTAATAATTATTAGATATTAATCTCTGGTATTATGGTATTCTGGTATTTCGTCGATTTTAAAATAAACTGTTTCTATCTTATTTTTTTTTGTTATAATGGGCATAATTAAGAGGGCTACTGATACCGTGTTGTAAAAATAAGGTTATTAAGGGCTTATTTTTTGGTATTTATTATAATTGTGTTGATATCTTCGGTTTGAAAGAAGATATCAAGATGCGATTTTCGCTGACTTTTTAAGCTTTTACTACTCTTTACTATCAACTAAAATTACATATAGTATTGCATTTTATTTTTTTGAAAAAACGCGCAATGTTTGTTAAATTGCAAAACAACGCCCTCTAGCGTCTACGTTCAAAAGCTTATTATTATTGTTTATATGGTACAATACAGAGTAAGAAACGCTCTTTTAACCGACCCCTCGCTTGTTGGATTCTGATCATCCAGTCCAGAGTTATTAATATTTAAATAAAAACAGATCTAACCTTCCCCCACCACTTTATTTTGGTAGATAGGGGAAAATGGCTTTAACAAAAATTATTCAAAATTTACTGAAGATTATGAAGCTATTACTTATAGTACACCTTATCTAGGCAAAATTGTGTGAAAACTCCATTTTCTCATGTTTTGTTGCAGTTGTGCCCCCTGGCGGTCGCTCTACAAACTTGAAAATAATTTCCAGCAATTTCCCATAGCCTCTTTAGTTATAAATATTTTTTTCCGCAGCCCCTACGGCTAATACTTTCCGAGATACAGCCGAGAGCTATTCTTAGTGGGACACCCTGTACATTGAAGTTTTACTGTTTTGTTGAAAATAATTTATGTTTATTACTTTGGCTTCACATTTCAGTTGTTTGTACTTTTAATAATACGGTAAAATCATAAAATATATGTATATGTTTTTAATTTCTATGGGTTTCTTAGCCAAGTTATATTTCTGTTTGTCAAAAATTCCTAAAAAATGCGTTTTACTTTATTTTTGTGTCCGTTCTTAATAATTTGTTGAAAATTAATGAAATTGTTTGTTTACAAGTTTGAATATAATGTAAATAGTGTTAAAATAACAATCTTTTTATAAAATCTGTTCATCGTGTATTTTAAACTGAAAAAAAATTGGGGTCTGTCGGGCCCCAGCACGCCATAAGCTTTACAAAAATTCATCACGCCAGTTGAGGGTTAAACATGGAGATTACCCATAAAATTCCTTGTTTTTTCGTTTCACAAATTCACTAAACGCAATGCTAAACTGATCTAAAACCGCAGGTATAACTTCCAATGTATACGCTACAGGTAAAACGGTAGGTGTAGTCCGGGCTTTAAGAGAAAGGTGGTGAAAGCAAAAAAAACTGAAAAAAATTTATAAACATCGTTTAATATTATGATTATTGAAAATTATCAAAGCCCTCCTTTATTAGATTACATTATATTTCTTTTTTCTTCTGAACATAAGAGTCTTATTGTTCTTAAGGTCAAAGAAAATGGACCGATCGCTTGTCTTAAGTGATAGCAATTATGACCACTTGAGGTCGTTACGATCGTTACTGAATTAGCATAGAAAGCAATAAATAAATGCGGTTGGTTGTTGAATTGTTTGGCATGCCGATCCCATCGTATAATAATACATAATAGAAGTACTAATTCGGTTAAATTACACTGCTGCATAATTTGAATGTGTTTTTTTTTTGTTTCAGATAGACGATAGATGCAACTGTCAAAGCTTGGGGGATTTGGAAAAATAGGCTTTATTAAAAGGAAAACCGGTAAGTTAGGTCTTTATTTTGGATGAGAAATGAACTAGAGAAAAGAAAAATCGATTGTTCTGACCGAAACGTTGTGTTAATCAAATTTGATAATGGAAGTTCGAAATTCTTTTAGTTTCACCCTGTATATTCCTTCCTTCCCCTCGCACCTCACACACTGTATATTTTGTAGCATTTTGCAGTTTCGTTCTATAATTTTCAACGACCGCGTAAACATCTCCCTTGTTCCACTCTAAAAATCAATAACTAAGTGCTAATGTTCCGAAACATCTTGCCACAACGGGGGCAATAAAGTTTAGGGCCAATAAATTTATCCCGAAGAAGCAAAATTCAGAAAGGACCGTGAAGTGTAGGGTTCTGTAGGGCCGGCCAACTTCCATAAGCAAATTTTACGCTTTTTACGACACCCTAATAAAGATGTTTACAGGAAAAGTTGTTTTAATAAAAGTGTGACGAAGTGAGCCCACCCCTGTCGACCTTCTGTTAAATTTTCGGATTTTTTCCTTCCTTTTCATACCATACTTCGAGCTCAGTGGCGTACATAATACATCTGCGATGTATGATAGAAAAATACTACAGAGTATAGTCACGAGGAATGAAGTGGTCAAGTGATGTGTGTAGTTTGTCTCCATCATTATGGAGACAAACATGAAGCGAACACAAACATGAAGCACAAGACAGGGAATTCCTTCAAGGAATGCAGATTCTGTGGGGAAAATGGGGAAATACCAGACCACCTTAGTAGCACCCAAGTTGTTGGCAAATTTCTACATGAAAGCTGAGAAATGTAAAGTTCTTCTTCACTTTCTGTGATATTTTACTCACAGTCCGTGAACTGATATTGAACGCAGCTAAAACACACTGGAAGATCTCTGTATTTTCAATAAAAGCCACTAAAAATTTAAGCAACAATATCAGTTTTTCCTCTCTAACGCAGTTTAAAGGCTAAAGACTCGCCATGATCTCTTTCCTGTTCAAAATAATTGAGTAAAGATAAGAAAAGTTGCCGATTCCGACTTTTTAGTGATTTTGGCACTTTATTGCAATGAAAATTGCAGTTTTAACTAAAGAAACGCCCATATTTAATTGCAAAATTGTCAAGGAATAAAATTGAAAATATGTATTAACACTGATGTTAAAATAACATCGAATATTTAATATTGGCGAAACATTGAGATGTAACAAAAACATGCTTTATATTTTTTTTTGTTCAAATTTCTCAAACATTATAAATTTATTACCAGGGTGTTTTAATGCGCAGGCAAGCCACTGCTCGCTGGAGGTTTGCCTTAATTTCCGCATCAAATTTAACGGCAACATTTGGTCCTTCGTTCAGGGCCGCATTAATGGCTTTTTCCTTTTTTATATGCCTTTCCCGCTTAGAGTGACCGCGCCAAGAATAAAATTAACGATTTTGGCTGGATGGCTTTTACGTAAAAAAGTTGTAAAACTCAGTGACATATTATATGCGACGACAAAAAAAGATTATCAGACACGCCACTGAAACACCAAAAGTCTCATTGACGTATCTTCATTATTTTTGACTAATTGTACGCTGAAAAATTAATTTGTGAATTTAATAACAATATTAATTTTACCATATCCCAGTGGCGGGTCTAGGGTAAAATACGTCGTGGGTAAAGACAAAATTTGGCGCCACCACAACTCAAAAAATGTGTAGTTTGGTCTGATTTAAATTTAATTTCTAAACTCACAAAACTCATTGTGAAAATAATATCGTTTTGTAATAATCATTTAATATTAATAAACTGTATTGCAAAATTACATTTTTTTTGTGAAACTATGTAAACATAACTTATGGCGCTTTCAGACGGAGTGGACCGTACCAATAACCGTATGCGCGGAACGTCCGCGCGCGTTTTTTTTCAATAGACAGTTAAAGCACGGCCAAAGACGTAGACGTAGACGTATCGTTTGACATGTACGCTTGCGCAGTGTGAAATTCATTTGCGTTTACGGATACGTGATACGTATCTTTACGTGCCTTTACGTACGTACAAAACGCAAACGTATCGAGCCGAAGGAGTTTCGATTTTCACCCGAATGATGCCGAACGTACAAATTCACAAACAACTCGTTTCCACAACTGGCTAGTAATTAAGTTATTTCATAAATTTTCGGGCCAGTGTCACAGAACTGGTCCTAGTTTATTACAATAATTTTTTTTTGTGTGAAAATATTAAGCATCATAATAAACTCATTTTGGAATCTATTTAATTTAATGCTAATTCTTATAGGCAAAACCATAATATGAGGATTCTAAAAGATGGAATCTAATAAATAATCATAAAGCTGTGTCTGTTTTCCAATATTTTTTTATTATGAAGAGCATTTTAAGTTGTAAGGACTACTTTCTGTAATAAAATTTATAATTTTCTTCAGTTTTCGATGTTACTTTTATAAATTTAATGTAGAATCAATGGAATAATAGATATCCATTTTCAATTTTAAAATTAAATAAATTGTTTCACAAAATAATTTAGAATTACAAATGTACCATTTGCGTTACGTACGTCAAAATACTTGCTTCAACTCTTGTTTACACGACAACGCAACGGCAGACGTAACGTATACGTCAAAATACTTGCTTCAACTCTTGTTTACACCACAACGCAACGGCAGACGTAACATAAGTTTCTGCGTTTCTGCGTATACGTATTGTGCCTTGCTTTAACTGTCAAATATAGCTCATCCGGACGGAGCAAACGCGACCCATGTGAAATCGTTCATATAAACTCATGGTACTTGCTCGAAGTCGCGGACGCTCCGCTCCATCTGAAAACGCTGTTATTGTTACAAGTTTCTTTAAAGCCGCGTATAAATATGCCGAGGCAAGTAAGAGACAAACCCGAAACGAGTATGAAACGAGGCTATAGCAAATTCTTTCCAAAAGGCGTACTAATATGCCGAGACGAGGACGAGACGAGTCAACCTCAAGCGAAATTCGTCATATTATAGCCTCGAGCCGAGCGATTTAGCCTCGACCAGAGTCCCTGCCCAATCGAACGGCGTTGTCTCGCGGCTATCCATTTTCAGTGGAGCCTTTGGCGAACCCACAAAATTCTTCATAGGGCTATGCGATACTAAGGCAGTATCGATATTTTGGTATCGGTTGTATTGAATATAAAGTATCGATACTTTAAAATATTGATAAATATATTAAAGTATTATTCGATACCATTCAATATTTAAAAAAATTAATTAATAAATTTAAGTATACTGTGTTTTTTAATTGGATTAGGATCGAAAAAAATCAACAGAAGTCCTTTGTTTTAAATTTGTCGACGTTTCGCAAAATTTATTTGCATCTTCAGGACATTACAAAGTTAAGAGAGCAAAATACAATCAAAAAATTTTAAAAATTTAACAAACAACTTAAAACACATATCAGTGGAATTCCACACATACACAATTGGTAAAACTACCCTAATGTTAACAATTAAATAAAATATTTTTTTTTTGTTTTTACTCTTGGCTTTAGGTCGTTTAACGATTCCAATTTAACCTCCGGTTCCAAGAGGGTGAAGCCACCCCTCAAATATTACAATATTTTTTATTTAAAAAACGGTCAAGTTTCCGAAAAAACGCTTAAACACGTATATTTTATTTTGTTTTTTTACATATTTTAAGATTTTTTAAAAATGTATACAGGGTGTTTCGAAAAATCTGGTCATTGATTAATCACGATTCTGCTTAAACTGCTTGACGTTTAAAGCTGATTTTTGGCAAACGGATTGACTGTGGGGTGTAGAGGTTCGATAAGGAGGGGTTTCTCGAATCTCAAATTCCAAGAGGGTGAAAACGCCCCTCACATATTACAATATTTGTTATTTAAAAAACAGTTAGTCTTTCGGGAAAAAGCTTGGACAGCATAATTTATTTGTTTTTTTTTACATATTTTGAAATTTTTTAAAAAATCGTGCAGGGTGTTCCAAAAGATAATTTCTTAACGATTCTGCTTAAACTGCTTAACGTAAAAAACTTATTTTTGGCAAACGTATTTTTCGAAAGTCAAATTCCAACGAGATGAAATTACCCCTCAAATATTACCAAGTTATATAATAATATCGCCATATTGTTTTTTCTCATGCTGACATAAATGCGATTCAGTGTATTTTTAAAATTTAAGGTTATATCACAGATTAGGTATACTTTATGTATACAGATAAAAATCTTGTCCCTAATTTGTGGTACGAAAATTGTTTTTTTATGACGATGAGCAAACGAGTAAAATTTCCTCTGCGCAAAAATAAACTCGCGTTTAAACAGCGTAATAACTGGGCCGGTCAGGCGCTGTGCACAATTTTAGAGGCCATAAGTGGGCGTGCTATGTGCGCAAACTAGTAACCTAATTAGTGCTCGACTCCGAAAATCGGAACCACGAAAAATAATGCTTTTGACGATAAGTTTATAACCTGTATAATCTGTGGTTATATCAGCAGAAATATTAAATTTAATAATATCGAAATTATATCCGAGAAAATTTGAGGCAGGCTATATTGCTCTAAAAGAATTATACATTTTTCCAAGCTATATTGGATTTTCTGTATTAACAGCGTGCTGGTCGTCGTATAGGGATGATATATGATATCATTGCGCCCTTAAAAGGTGGATATTAGTCTGTATATACAGGAATAAAACGATTGAAGGAGCACATAACGCAGGAGAGAAACGGCAGTTATAACTATAAACCGGAAATAGTAAAGTGGAGCTTATTTGAAATTTGCGGTTTTTATTTCAAACTAGCGTGTACTCGCGACTTCGTTCACGTCGAATTAATCATTTATAATGGTGATGATGATAAAGCAAAGCAAGAATTTCCATTAACATACAAACTGGATAAAATTTTCTTACATTTATGTCAGCATGAGAAAAACCAATATGGCGATATTATTATATAACTTGGTAATATTTGAGGGGTAGTTTCATCTCGAACAAATTCCAACAACTTTCCAAAAATCCGTTTGCCAAAAATATGC